ATTATTATTATTATTATTATTATTATTATTATTATTATTATTAAAAGGAAATTGCTTGATAAAAAATTGTCATTGATATTAAATGAGCGATTTAGGGATCCGAAAGAAATTTTGAAGACTATAATTAGGGCTACAGGCTTTTTGATCGACTGTTACTTTTTTGCGATCGTTTAATTGTCTCGAGTGGCATGAATTATTTTCATCGTTGTATAGTACTTACCCTCGAAAGGCTTGGAAGTTTGGTAATAGTTTGTCCGCATTGGGAGCTACCGAGGTTGGCAATCATTTCTTTGACAGTTGGAACGTTGCTAACTTTAACACGTTCGCTGCTAGCGTCACTATTATACATAGCCTATGTTCATTGTATTTGTCGTATTAAATGCATCATATCCCTCTCACAAAGTATGAAGAAAATGTCGTCAAATAGACGTTATAAATTCTCTACAATTTTAAATAATTACACTCACAACATTAATTTTATGCCCTTTACGTGAAATACAAAATCATGGTCGTCACATACGTGCGACGCTGGTAGCGAACTCGTTAATACACTTCTCAAAGTTTTGACTATATTGATTTTAACCCCCTTGAGACAATAGCGAACCTCCCTTGAAACTTCAAAGTGGATATTAATGTTTGATAACCGATTTGATTTGAGTCGTAAAAAACTAGGGTTCTGGATCGACTAACTTTCTTTGCAAAGTTAGTATTAATATTTATCAACCGACTTGACTTGAATTGGAAAATTGGGGTTTTCAATTGTCCAATTTTCTTTGCAAAATTAATATTAACATTTACCAACCGATTTGACATGTATCGAAAAAATTGAGGTTTTCAATTGTCCAATTTTCTTTGCAAAATTAGTATTAATATTTATCAACTGACTTGACTTGAATTGAAAAAATTGGGGTTTTCAATTGTCCAATTTTCTTTGCAAAATTAATATTAACATTTACCAACCGATTTGACTTGAATAATAAAAAACTAGGGTTTTCAATTGTCCAATTTTCTTTGCAAAATTAATATTAATATTTGACAATTGATTTGACTTGGATAATAAAAAACTGGAGTTTTCAATTGTCCAATTTTCTTTGCAAAATTAATATTAATATTTGACAATTGATTTGACTTGAATAATAAATAACTAGGGTTTTCAATCGTCCAATTTTCTTTGCAAAATTAATATTAATATTTAACAATTGAATTTAATTGAATAATAAAAAAATAGGGTTTTCAATTGTCTAATTTTCTTTGCAAAATTAATATTAATATTTACCAACCGATTTGACTTGAATCGAAAAAATTGAGGCTTTCAATTGTCCAATTTTCTTTGCAAAATTAATATTTGACAATCGATCTGACTTGAACAATAAAAAATTAGGTTTTCAATCGTCCAATTATCTTTGCAAAATTAATATTAACATTTGACAACCGATTTGCCTTGAATAATAAAAAACTAAGACTTTCAATCGTTCAATTTTCCTTGCAAAATTTAAGTTCTTTGTATAAAATCGAAAGTATTCTATCGGGTGACCGAATCATTTCGTCGTTCAGATTCGTTCCGCAGAATTCCGCTCGAAACGTTCGTTTCAAAATCAGCTTCGATGTCTCGTTGAAAGGACGTTTACTCGTATGCAATCCCTTTCCCGGATGATCGATTTCCGATGCATTTGAACCAGCGACCGATTCAACATGCAGTTACGATTACATCGATCTATTTAATGTCGAAAGGTCGGCCGCATCCATTATGGCGGCGATTGAATTAAAAACGAGGAGTCGCACGTGGAATATAAATAGGGACGTTCAAAAATTGATTGTCTCTTAGCTCGGGAGTGTTTCGACGTGCATCGATTATGATCCCCGTGGAGGAGAATAAGTCTTCGATATGAATTTTAAACGAGCTATGATCCTCGAGACGACGCGATCTCAAAATTCGTTGAACGCGCTTATTCGACCAAATATCAGAAACGTGCAATCCAGCAGAAATATTTGTCTGCACGTGCCTCAGCAATTTGTTAACAATTGCAAAGGAGCATAGTAGTAGCACCTGTATTTAATCAAGTGTGTCGCGCAGGTACGCGCGCGCTCGGCGAGCATGAAAACTGAATTTTCTGGGAAACTAGGTCTCAAATGAAAAAACTTTATCCTACATTTTTGACTCAGTTTTTTGCGTGGAATTGCCTCGTTTTCGTCTCATTCCGTAATTCTCGACGACCGCTCCGTTATCCGCGTGCTAAGGCCAACCGACAAGCATCGGCAAACATTTTAATCGAATTTTTCTCAAAACCAAGACCTTGAATGAAAAAACTGCATCCCACCTTTTCGACTCTGTTTTTTCCATAGAATCGTCCTTCGTTCGTCTCGTTCCATTCTTCGTCGCGCACTCGTCGTAATTAGAGTGAAAAGGTCAGCCGTCGAGGGGTCGGCGTTGTTCGGCATTCCAAAACGTGGAACATTCGAGCAGAATTTTCTCGAAGATCGAAGTCCCGAACGAGAAAACTCTATTCTACAATTTCTGCGCGGCTTTTCGCGTAGAATCGCCGTGTCAAACCGTGTTTCGCAGTTCTCTCCGCGTTCCCCCGCACGATTCCCACGAAAAAGGCGTACCGATAACGCGGCCGATTCTACGACTCGCAGAATCCTCGCGTACCGGGTGTCCCCGAAGTCACGCTCCACCCGGATCTACGGCGTCAATAATAAATCACCGCGCGTCTTTCGCCCGCGGTCATGTTTTCTTTCGAGCGTTTCAAAGGCTCGACGCGCGTCCCGACTGACAATTTTTCCTTACAAAAGCGTCGGCCGCCACCGAAAAAAAAGGGAACCAGGCCTCGGCTCGAGGGCGATTTTTAAACGGCGACCACCAACGTGTGCCGCGACCATTATATTCTCGCGCGCGTTCCCTTTTATCGGATCACGATCGCGGAAGGAAATCACTTTTTCTTCGGCGCGGGACCGTGCACAGATATGTTTTGCGGTTGCGGTGCGCTCTTCATCCTTGTCAACGCTGCCGCCACTTAATCGTAATCGTGTAAACCTCCTTCGTTTTTTTTTATCGATACCGGGTACAGCGACACTCAAAAGTTTCGATCGATGCGCAGGAATCCTCGATGGTCTATTTTGAGGGCTGAATTCTTGCATGTTATGAATCGATGACCAAAGCTGCATAAGAACTGCAATTTTATCTTATCTTTATAATTTTCACTGCGAATTATTTTATTGCTGTACATACATTATTAATTGTTACTGCGAATTAATTTATTGCTGTACATACTTTATTCATCTTTGTTGCATGTTATTTTATTGCTGTACATATTTTATTAATTTTTATTGTATGTTATTTTATTGTTGTACGTACATCATTAATTTTTATAGCACATTATTTTATTGCTGTACATATTTTATTAATTTTTATTGCAAATTATTTTATTGCTGTATATACCCTATTAATTTTTATTGCACATTATTCTATTACTGTACATACTTTATTAATTTTTACTGCAAACTATTTTATCGCTGTACATACTTTATTAATTTTTATTGCACATCATTTTATTGCTACGCATATTTCATTAATTTTTATTGTAAATTATTTTATTGCTGTACGTATGTTTGCAATTTTTATTATAAATTATTTTATTGCTGTACGTACGTTTGCAATTTTTATTGTAAATTATTGTAAATTGTAAATTGCTTTCTTTCATTACAAATTATTTTACCGTAACGTTACTCCATTGTAAATTAATCTATAATTATTGCATTTCATTAAATTATTCGTAATCGCTGGTTCAACGAAAATAAAAATGTAACAAATGGTTAGTGTTAATATTTGTATTCCTAGAAAAATGATAAGATTGGAATGATTACATAGTCAATATATGTTTGAACCTATCGTTTCAGACTATTTCACGCTGCTTAAAAATATGTAACGTAGGAATTCTTCTTATATGAAATCTTAGGCCGTTATTAATTGGGGCACGTAATTTTTAAGCGCAGCTCTTTGCGGTTTTTAATTAGATACGGATTTGTGAAAGTAGACGTTAAACGTTATTTTATGTTTCGGACTCGTATCCAATTTCCAAATAAGTATTCATTTTTCTCTAGATATTAGGTTATAAAAACTTGTAAGAAATATATATTTCTGTTTATAAAAAATTCTAGCCTTCTCGATCTTTTAAATCTAAACAACGCTAAAATAATTTAGGTTCGTGGAACTCGTCAAAATGGCGGATCGTTGATTTTTCAATTTACAATTATTCGTAATAATTTGTGCTGACAATGTATACTGGGTGTCCCATATTTATGTGATCACCCGGAAAGGGGTGATAGCTCAGGTCATTTGAAGTAATTTTTCTCTTAGCGAAAATGCAATCCGAGGCTTCGTTTACGAGTTATTAACGAAAAACCGTGACCAATGAGAGGCGAGCTCGCCTAGCGCTAGACGACCGAGCCAATCAGCGCAACTGGACTTCGTTGCGCTCGTTGACTGAACCGCCTCACGCCAGCCGAGCTCGCTTGTCATTGGTCAAAGTTTTTCGTTAATAACTCGTAAACGAAGCCGCGGATTGCATTTTCGCTAAGGGAAAAGTTACTTCAAATGACCTCAAGAATCACCCCTTTTCGAGTATTAACATAATTATGAAAGACCTGTATTCGATTACTCTATAGTAACCGAATAATTTACAATGAAAATGAACGAAATACGTGCAGCAATAAAATAATTTATAATAAAAATCAATGAAGTGTGCACAACGATGAAATAATTTGCAATAAAAATGATTAAAGTATGTACAGCGATAAAATAATTTGCATAATTATTAATAATTCCTGCATTATTATTAATTTCCATAATACATAATTAAAGTATGTACACTCACGTGTTGTTTATTATTTATATCATAAGTTGCTTGCGGCAAATATTACAACGTTGAAACAACGTTAAAAATCGGAATTACGTGTCTCGCCGTTGCATTTTATAAACAAACATAAATCGTCTGTTGCAGAGCTAGTGCTAAAGGTACCCAACCTCGTCCCAGGGTGGCGGGCTCCTACAGGAGTCCCGAAGATCGGGGATCGCGGTGGTGCAGCTAGCTGATTAGGAACGGGGGCAAGGAGGAGGAGGAGGAGGAGGCTCCTGCCGGTTCCGCTGAAGCGCAAAGGACGAAGACGAGGAGGACACGCCGAGGAATCGGTGTCCGAGGGTGGCGGCGGAGGTGACGCAGAGGCGAGGCGGAGGAGGGGCGTCCGTGGAAGAGGGTGGTGGTTGTTGAAGTGGTTGGTGCTGGTGAAAACACCGGTGCCGCCCGGAACCCCTGCCTAGGACCAGCCTAGGGAACGAACCGTCGAATAGAGAACGGAAGGTGAACCGAAACAGAACAGGCGCAAACACAAGGGATATACAGGGTGAGTCGCATAAATATTCAGGCCGCGGTGTCGTCCGAGTCTGCGTCGGCAAATGTTTCGGACGAACACGTTGAACGGGTTTCTGTGGGCCGTTTGTTTCACGTGATTACCGTTCTTGTAGGTGGTACCATGAAGAGATTCCTCCTCAAGGTCGAGGTTGTTTCTCAACCAGGACTAGGCGCATTTTTAAGTGGAAAGCATGCAACTAGACTACGGATCCCTGTGCGAAATGAAAACCGGTCTGCATTGATTGCAACGCGCAGCAGCTACGTTCATCTTTCTTGTTAATAATTTTAACGCGTTCTACGTTGATAATCGCGATCACTAAAATTCCCTGAAAATCAAAGTAACTTAATTAATTAAACACCGAAACTAGAAAGTTAAAATTTATCAGAATAGATGACATTGGAACTCATTCGCGTTCGAAACATCCTTGTCAAATTCGGTTTGTTCGAGTATATTACAGTGAAAATGAATTTTCAAAATTTTGGTCAGAAATCAGTGTCACCCATGTGTGACCGACGCGGCGCTCAACCTGTTGACTCGATGGGAATACAAAAGTGTTCGCCGATCCTTTAAAACTGAAGGGACTAGTTATTTTTCTTATAAATGCATAAAATCCGCGGTCTAGTTGCGACGCTCCGCAGAGAAGTACCGTGTCACTCGGGATCTAACGTTGCTACTCCGGAAGATATTTCAAGGCCACTGTGGTCGGTAACCCCGTCTTCAAATTGGAATAATATCCGTAGACAGTGGTTTTCATCCGTTCACTGCCAACCACGAGATATCTCGCAATAGACGTCCGCCACGACGCGACTGTTAAAGCTTCGTTGCTAACGAGAAAAAGGATCTGTTCATTATTTTTCACTTATTACTGCTTATTTATTTAAAAAGGAAAAGAAATGTCGGCGTTTAGAACAGATTCCTTCAAAGTATGGCAGTCGATGCGTCAAGGTGTATGTTGTATAATACTTTTTTGTGAAGAGTAACAAACTACGTCGACCAGTGTGTTCGTGAGTCTTGTTCTGGTGAGCGAATAGTAGAGGGTGTTTCAAGTTCAAGTAATTTTCTGGATCAGAACAGACTTTTGAATACAGCGGTCGATGCAGCTTGCGATTCTCTACGAAAAAGTACTATACATCTTGTACCCTAAGATCGCTGTCTGAAGAGATATTCCGGTTTGAAGATGGCACCACTATCCACAGAAAGAATACACAATATCTTCTGAACCAGCAATGTTAGGCCTTGAGTGGCCTAGTAGTTTTCTGCAGAATATTAGAAGCTACGTCGACTGGTATATTAAAAAATATGCGATTCTGTAAGAGAATGCAAGCTCGACCTTCGCGTATCCTTTGCATAACTATGTACAGTAAATTCTCCCTAATTGATTCTTAGCTTGTACACAAAAATGGACAATTTGGGAAGAGGAGATATGTTTAAATAAATATAATATATTATTTAATATATTATATTATATTATATTATATTATATTATATTATATTATATTATATTCTATATTTAATTACTTATATATTATATTATGTTATGTTATGTTATATCATATTATATTATATTCTATTATATAAATAACGAGCCGCAAGGCTCGGATAATGGTACTTCCTTTTCCAAAATTGTCCAGTTTTGTTTCCAAGCGTCAATTAAGGAGAATTTCCTATAATGGATTGGCCAATAAATTGTAGCATTTTTTCCCTATATGTGATAATACAGAAAAATGTAACTACTCATTGGCCGACCTAATATTTAGAAAAATGGTAATTACGTCAGACGATGCTCCATGAAAAGAAATCATAGAACCGTTGTTCAAAGAATTTTTACGATACGGTCAGCAGCTTCGGAAAGTGTACAGTAAGTTCTCCCTCATTGACGCTCGGTTTGTACACAAAAATGGACAATTTGGAAAGAGGAGGTACGATTATACGAGCCCGTTTTTATATATGGTTTTTAATACAATTGTTATACAGTCCATTTTATACTAATATGGAGAATGGACGTGTTGCATTCCTCAGAATTCGTTAGACTTAAAAATTAAAAAATATTCTAGTCTATAGAAAAATAGAGGGTGTCCCAAAAGCATGGTGCTTCCAGGAAATGAGGGATTCCCGAGGTCATTAGAAGTAACTTTTTCCTTAGCGAAAATGCAATCCGCGGCTTCGTTTAGGAGTTATTAACGAAAAACACTGACCAATGAGAGGCGAGCTCAGCGCGGCGCGATGCGGTGCTGCCAACGAGCGCGCGATGCCCAGTTCCGTTCATTGGCACGGTTTTCTCGCGCCAGCTGATATCTCGCCTCTCATTGGTCACTGATTTTTGTTAATAACTCGTAAACGAAGGCGCGGATTGCATTTTCGCTAAGGAAAAAGTTACTCCAAATGATCTCAGGAACGCCCCAGCTCCAGATGCGAGACATTCTTAGGACACCCTGCAGTTGTTGGCGATCGGTAACTATAAAAACTCTTCCCAAATTGTCAATTTCTTTTGTGCACACTCTGAGCATGTCAATTAGGGAGAATTTATTGTGTTCCAGCTCGAACACTTAGGCGATCAACCCTGTGTACAGGTTTCTATATCCCTTCGGGGCGCGGCGGGTCGTTCGTTACGGAAGAAGGGAGGATTTAGAGGTTGGTGGTGGCGTTTGTAAGGGCAACCTGTGGCAAGATGGGCTGTGCCATGTCGGCGGAAGAGCGGGCCGCCCTGGCCCGCAGCAGGCAGATCGAGAAGAACCTAAAGGAGGACGGCGCGCAGGCCGCGAGGGACATCAAGCTGTTGCTGCTCGGTGAGTCCCTCTTGCGTCATTATTAGAGAGCCGATCTACATGCGAAAGAAACATTGTCCGCACCAATTGTAAAGAGGCGGCAGCCAATTAGAAGTTTCTTTCTTCCTTCGGCGATCGTAACACTTTGACGGACTGTGTCACGCGCGCACGTGACTTCGCGAAAATTTGAATCACGGTCGATTCGGCGGAGCTGTTTTTCGACAGGAATATATCGTAATTAGATTGTTCATCGAATTTATCCTATTTATATTGTTATTAACTCTTTGCCGACGGAGCCATTTTGACTCGAAATCCAAAAGTTTTTCTGGCCTATTTCTATTTCATATAATCTAGTGCATTTTGTGTATATGAAATTGAATTTTGTGACTCGTGCAACAGTCACTTTTTAACAGATTTTATTTTTTTATTAAAATTATTTGGAAATGTGATATTTGACAACTTTTGAGTGGTGCCTTAGGGTCATCGCTCGACTGCAAAGGATTAATAAAGTATATCAGAATTGCGTTATTAAAAAGTGTAACATAATTGCACTATTAGAAAAATGTATCATAATTACACTATTAAAAAGATGTATCATAATTACACTATTAAAAAGGTGTATCATAATTACACTATTAAAAAGATCTATCATAATTACACTATAAAAGAAAGTGTATCATAATTGCATTACTAGAAAAATGTACATAATTACACTAATAAAAATCATAAAAATGTATCATAATTGCACCATTAAAAAAGTATATCGTAATTATACTAACACTAACACTTCAGCTGCCACGTAACTCATGTACATATACATATACGGATGATAGTATT